GCCGTATGATGGGACCAGCCGAGGAGGCCAAGGTATTGGAGGAGGTTTTGAAATTGGTGAAGTTGGGGGCTGTCCGCGAGGTGAACCATGAGCCATACATCATTCCGGCGTTTGGGGTGCCAAAAAAGAATGGCTCAACTCGGCTTGTGCTGGACTTTCGGAAATTCAATTCTTGTGTTCAGCACCAGCCTTTTCTTCCTGTCCATCGTGAGCTCTCTTTGGCAGCCTTGTGTCCATTCTGCATTGGATCAACACTCGATTTGTCCAATGCTTATTTGCAAATACGGCTTGCCCCATGTTTGTGGCGTGCTATTGGGTTAACAGTGGCGGGGAGATTCTTTGAGTACATGCGGCTGCCTTTTGGGTACTCCAATAGTTCCCACGAGTTTTTGAGAGCATTATGGCCAACAGTTCGCCGGGTGTCTAGTCGTATTCAGTTGCAGATCCTTTTTTATATGGATGATATTCTTTTATTGTCCCAGTCGGAAGCCCAACATCAGCAGGACTTAGCTGTTTTGTTGGAAGAGCTTCAACGGGATGGATGGCGGGTCAATTGGGACAAGTGCCAATTCTGCCAGGATCGCTTTGAATATTTGGGGGTGACCCTTACAACTTCTGGTTTGGAACCGACAGACACAGTGTTGACTCAGTTTGAGCAAGCTCCTATGCCTACCACCCAATCATGTTGGCGTCAGATTTGCGGCTGGTTGAACCACTCGGCTCGGTTCATTAGGAGGGGCCATCAAGTATTGGCAGCCTTGCGTGACGTCCAAGCACATCCTTCATTGGCTCGGTGGCAACAATTTCTTTCTTTGTTGCTTTGCCATTTTGTTAGATGTGCTTTTCCTTTGGCGCCATCATTTGGGTCTTTCACAATGATCACTGACGCGAGTAAGCTTGGCTGGGGAGCCGTGCTACTGACTGGGCATCGGATCATTCGTTGTGCACACGGCTTGTGGCCAACAGCTTTTCAGCACCATATGAGCAACGTCTTGGAGTTGGAAGCGCTTTGCAGAGCTCTTCAGACTTTCAGACCATAGATTTTTGGTGCTCCTGTTCGGGCCATCATGGATAACCAAGCTATTGTGAGCTTCAACAATCCAGCACACTTGAGCGACTTTCTCAAGAGGTGCCTCGATCACCTTTCTTGGTATTCTCCGCAAATTTCATTTTGTCCAGGACCATTTAATTATTTGGCAGATTTTTTGTCTAGACAGGGGCCTTGGATTTTGGGACCATCTCGTCTTCGCGCAGTGGAAGGACATCGCTCGTTGGTCGTTACTCAGGCACAATGGAAGCAGGCTCATGCAGGCCATTTTGGAATCAGAAAGACGTATCTTCGTTTTCGCCAGATGGGTCTGCGTCCAACATGGCAGTGGGTGACGGATGGAGTGCGATCATGCAGGGTGTGTCAGTTGTTCCATCGACCGCAACCATCCAACCCATTTGGCTGTTGGCATGTGCCAGAGAAGCCTGGCCAAGTCATTGGCTTGGATTTCATGGGACCTTTTCCTAAGAAGAAAGTGGGGAAGAAGTGATTTGTTCTTGTCATCATGGACATGCTGACTAGACGGGCGGGGGCTGTCACGGGTGCAAGGGGAACAGACATTGTGCAGGGGTTAAAGAAATGGGTACGAACATGAGGGACACCTTCAGTGTGGTGTAAAGCACAGGGGGTAGTATGTTTCTCTAGTAATTGGGTTACTGGGAGGTTAAAGTACAATGAACAATACGGTTGAATATCTCATATAAAAGTAGAGTCCATTAGGAGCTCATAGGTTCTTGAACCACCTCCATTGGGTTAGCGGTAGAGGAGTTATGGTTAGATATATTACCAGTACTTTAGACTCTATCGCCGGAACCGTATTGGGGGATGAGATACAATCGCATGGGCCTGTACGCTGCATTGTCACGTGATCCGGGCGGAGGCCACCCCCTCAAAGGGGCGACCTCCTGTCAGACTGTAATTCTCCATTCTCTCGCCCACTCTGCGCACCCCGCGGCTGCACCCGCGAGCCGCACGGCGCCGCGCATCCACAGCGCGCCCGGCCGCCCCGCGCCCGGCCATCCGCAGGCCTGGGCCCACACTGCGCACCCCGAAGGAGCGAGCGCCCCGGACAGCCCGCCGGTCATCCGGCGGAGGAGGCCCATCCGGGCCGAATTGGGCGCCGCGGCGGGAGCCTCGCCCGCAACGACCGAAAACCACGCCATTCAGTCTTGTGTTCTGATGTCTGCAAAACCACGCAATCCAAGGAGTTGCAAGGGTGGTGCGCACAGGAGGGAGTGACGCAGGAGTTCTCACCTCCTTACCATCACGCGTCCACTGGGTTTGTAGAGCGGTTCAATCAGACACTTTTGAACCGTTTGAGGCACATGTGGGCAAAGGAACCCAAGTATTTCGCCAAGACTGTTGAGCAGGCCGTAGAGATCTATAACAGCACACCTTTGTCTTCGCCAGAAGAAAACAGGAAGACCCGCACCTCTTTCGTGTTTGGGTCGCCAAACCAATTGTGGAATAGTTCAAAGACCGTGTGGAGCAGGCTACATGAGTATGCGCGTCAACAGCACGCGAAGGCAAACCACAGGACCAGGGGACGGCGTATCCAATGGACATTTAGAGCGGGGGATCAGGTGTGATTATGGAATACAAAAGTCGAAACGCTCAAGGACAAGCTCGAGCCATGGTGGAAGGGTCCGGGACGGTTGATTCGCCCTATAACGAATGCGGTTTGGGAAGTGCGGGGGCCAGAAGGAAAAATATGGATTAGACACACATATATGTTACGGCCGTATCGGGATGCAATTTGAAAAGGGATGAGTTTCCGGCGGGTGTGTATTTGGCGAAGGGAAGCGTGTGAGGGCAAGTGAGCGGTTAATGTACTTCCTCTGTCCCAGATTAATTGTCGTCTATGATTTTGGGGCACTATTTTTCCATCATTCCTGCACCTGTTTTCAATAAAATTTCGTCTACGGTTGTGTTTTTGAGTTGGGAGTACACTATAAAAATTTCAAGTCAATCCCTTGAGTATTGAGGATTTGGCAGTACTTTGTATCAAGGCTCTTTTTATATAGTGAATCTCAATATTTGGGGTCAAAAATGACCAAAATTTACATTCGCCCTGCACTCAAAAGAGTCATGTCTCACTTTTTCTTCTTGAAAATTGATAATCAAGGGTTTTGTGATGCAATCTTTTCGATTTTGATCTTGTTTTGAAATTCTGAGGCTATCCTCATAAAAATTTAGCCTTTCAAATAGACGACAATTAATCTGGGACGGAGGAAGTGCAATGAGAGAGCGGTGTGCATCGTCGAACCAAATGCCCCTGCAGATGCTCGAGGCTGTCGCAGACAAATGTGTTGCGTCCGACACATTTCGGCCCACGGCACTTTAATTTGGACACGGCGCCTGCCAGTGCTTTGAAAGAGCAACCTCATTTCGGATTGATCATGATCATTATCGAGTTGACCGGTCTCGCACACACTCGCACACGGTCGCTCCCAGGCACGGGAAGCAAAACCGTAGCCGGATACATTACAGAATGAGTGTATTGACTAAATACCAATCACCGGTATAATTCCCCGTCTCTATTGTCCCCATGTGTATTCACCGTAACACCATGTCCACCATATTTACTTTCCACCATCAAAAACACACCATATATCATGTATTATAACCTCTCTCATGCATTGGCGGTGGGTGGGCGCGTCGGTGGATGTGACATGAACAGCACGCTTTGGGCTCATACTAGACATCCGGCAAAGTGTCGAAAAAGTAAATTCGAACATTCTTCAGCGAAGGCTGAAAGGTACACACAGCGCTGATTTTGTCTCTGTCTCATGTAAACTGCATGAAAACCTGAGCATATTTCAGTCGTACTGTGCGATCACGGCTACCAATGGGCCATGGAATAGCATTCAATGCAATTCCATGGATACTACCCAATACCATTGGTTGCTTTGATCGCACAGTACGGCGCGCGTCACCATGTTCAAGGGGGATGCGCGACCAGCGGCCACAGGAAGAGCGCATGTCCTGGCAGTTTGTCCTGTATCTCGGCACTCAACAGTCCTTGGCCTTCATTTCTCTCTGTCCAGAAACTTTTACATTGCCCTGCAACCCACCCAGGCGAGCACAGGCGGCCCACGCACCATGGTGATGCCCCCAAAGGCACCAGCCATTCACCCCCTTATTGTGATGCACCAACTCCAGCGCAGACTGCACGGTACCCGTCACCATGCACCAACTGCCCGCAAGCGGATCGCTCCTACTCAGCCTGACGCCCATGCGCAACGCGCAAAATTCCTTACCCTAAGATGATACGCTATCACAATCAATTACTGGGCAACAATAGACGGCGCGAGAGGGGTGGCGCGGGTTCCCAGCCCATCAACACCAAATGAAAACCATGCAAGGCAATGCATCTGCATGTGTGTGTTTGTGCACGTGCGTGTGTGTGTGTGTGAATCTTCAAGGCAGTTCTCAGGCCACTCAACTTCTTCCCCCCACCCCACCCCATCCCTGCCCCCTCCCCCCCCATCTTGTAGGAGTCCCCTATCGACACCAGCCAGTGTGACAGCCCTCCTGCCAGCCACCAGACATTACTGGCAACAAAGATCACCAAACTGCCTTGAGGCCCATCACAAGGGCAGAGCCACCATTCAAACCAAGCAAGGCACAGCAAGGCCTCAGAGCACGGCCCCAAGCTGGTGCTTCATCCCTCAACATCCGAAATCCAAACCCTCATGATGGCCCTGCTGTCATTGTCTGACAGCTGCCCCCCTGCGCGTCAACCAACAGCATCCTCCCATCCCTCACCACAATAAACACTGCGGGCATGCCAGCAACCAGGCAGCTCAATCTCACACAGCATGTATCAGAATGGCCGTCCGTACAGCACCGGTCGCCAAGTGCAGCACGAAGCACTGGCTGTGTGAGTTCTGCACAAAGTGAATGCTGCACTGCACGGGAAACGCTGCAGGCCCACACGAGGGCAAGCCTCCTATTGAAACACTCTGCGCATGAACCGCATGAATCGCTCAGCGTACGAGTTTGGGTCCACGGCGGAGATCGTCTTGCCGTCATGAGCGATGGACTTGAACCTGTGCTCCAGCCTCTTTATAATGTTGTATTCCTGCAGTATGTCGATGATGCCAAAATACACCACGACGTCCTCCGCGCTGTCAGCCACATTTCCCTTTGCATCCTGCAGGTGGGAAACAAACACATTGACATTGCGGAACACATTCTCAACTGCTCAAGTCGCTGAAGAAATGGAAAGGCGACAATGGTATGAAGGTAGGGGGGAAAGCTGGGTAGACAGGCTTTCACATCCTGTTCATAAAGAGATGGGTCTCCATCCAGCATCGTGGTCCAGATTCACAAACCACATCACAGCACTCACGTGCTGCACAGCCGTGGCCGCCATGTTCTTCCCCAGCTGAACGTGGTCATAATTCAGGAAGAATGCAAGGGCGTCTGTGCCCCCGTCGCTGTACGCCACGGGCCTCAGGGTGTCATTGCGCATTGGCTGGCGTGCCAGCACTTGCTGCGGCGCGTTCCTCTTCGTCTTTCGGCTCTCCATCTTCATTTCCACAAGCTTCAGCAGCTCCTGAGAGTGGCGCTCATCCAGCCGCATCCGGAAAATCTGCTGCCTAAATCGCTCCAGCTGTTTCTCCATCTCGATTTCAGACTCCACCTCACTGGCACTGGGGGTCATCTCTCTCACCTGCACATTGCAGCGCCCCATTGAATAAGTACAGGGTGCCCCAGTGTCTCGCATTCTCTCGTTCTTGTAACACAGCCCTACCTGGCTTGCTTTCCAGCTTGTCACAATCTCATCGCCCTTGTTTTCAGCTGTCCGACAACAAGTGCGCCGTCACAACTGGCCAACGTCATGCATGGCATAATGCTAGAGTCAGCATGTACGATACAGGTCCAATAATGCCAGGGGAAAATCCTGGCCAAACCTGGCCCAATCAATCACCTCAAGAAACAGACCACAAAGTACGATACATAACCCAGTCCTTTTGAGCAAAAAAAAGCTACAACACTAGGATGCACAATGCTTGACCACACTGCGCTTTGAACTCTTCTGTCTTCCTTATTTCTACAATGTTTGGGGCTTCTGAAGCCCACTGAAATTGAGCAACCTGCTCATCAAAACAACACTGTAAAATCAAATGACAGAGGGCAGCCTAATGCCATCAGCGCAATGTGCAACTTGGAGGGTATTTGGGAAACGTTGGTGAAATCTTTGGCACTCAGTAGCATTTTCACTCGGTGCTCATTAGTACTTTGACAGGCCACCAGTCCTCACAACAATGCACAGCCTCAAGGCGCAAGGGAGAGTCTTTCAACGCTGCAACCAGCACATTCAATCCATTCAATCAACTAATTTCTGGATAACAAGTCTACCAATAAGTGTACACGTAAATAACATAAGAAACACTTCCTGGATGTTCCTGTACCAATTACCGGCCGTAAGGCGAGCAACAGGCCCGTATTGTCAAATGCTGCCCATGCTGCGCAGACAAAGACATCCACCATCAAGCAGTCGCCTCCCTGCACTCTCCCTCACCCCAGTCTTGCGGAAATGCACCCCCAGCAGCAGCGAGTAGTCCATCACCGTCATCGACCTCAGCAGCTTGCAGTCCTGCGTGAGCTGACGGTGCAGACGCTCATGCCAGCCTTCCTCCAGCTTCAGTGTGTACTCCAGATCCAGGTCCTTCAGGGTCATAGAGGATCGCTTGTCCACGTCCTCTCTGGTGAAGCGGCCGTGGGTAGAGCCCTTGAGGTCATACCGCATGTGGATGGGGAGGTCCGTGCGGAAGAGGTTGCCCATCACAACAAATCGGATCTGTGCATGCACCCATGGCCGATCAGGGGATCACTGTCAAGCCCAGATTATGATTGTGAAAATGTGATCAAGCACTGCAGTTGTAGCAACCAAGGCAATACCTCACATAACCTCACAGACGATTGTGTGTGGTTCATGACTATTGATGATAGTCAATGGTTACAGTGACATATCTGAGCAGAACATGACTTGAATCCTGGACCGTTTCCAGCTGCAAACAGCACTGCTGCATCAGCACAAAGTGTCTGCACGGCAGCATCTTGACAGCAACAAGCAACATGTGGATGCTGAAACAGTGTTCAAACCAAGCACTAAATAGGCACACCTTGAAAATGATCCACTTCAATTCAACATCTCCCACACACCATAGTTCACACAAATGCACAGACGATTCACCAGCTCAATCCACGATATGAATAAATTGCAGCAAGGCCCAGACGCCCCCTGCATGATCTTTTGCATGGTAAGTTTGGCAGGCCAGAAAGAAACAAGACTGGATCCCTTGTATCCCTTGATCCCTCACCTTGGATCCCTTATATGGTGTGACCCTGTGCAGCCCATAGAACTTGGTGATAAGCGAGTGCTTATGCTGGTCCATGTGTGTGTAGTACTTGCGCAGCATCACAAACAGGTGCTTCATCTCCGTCTTTTTCATGGTCTTGATGATGAACCTGTTGTCATGGGAGAGGTAGAACAAGGCCCCTGACTTTCCGGGAGAGGGTAGCTCCCGCAGGGCCTTGTTGCCACACAGGGACATTAGGTAGTCTGCTGGGTCGATGCCAAAGTTTTCTCGCAGCTTCCGGAAGATCATAGGGGCATAGTCCTTCCATTTGAAGTCGTTTGACATGTGGGGTGGTGTTTGTTTGGAGCCACGCCGGGGGAAGGTCAGCTTCACCTTCTCAAAGAAATGGTGCTCCGTCAGGCCATCGTGCAGCCGAACCTGTTGCAAACAAGTTGGTCAATGTCAGACTGGATTCTGAGGTAGGATGGTTGGCTTGGCTCCTGGATAAATATCTCACACTTTAACAGATCATTTTTGGACTGTCACTGGACAAAATGATGGAGTACTTGGTTTGTAAGTGGCGATTGTGGTGACCATGGGACATTCTTTGTGTCAGCTGCCACCCTGCATCTCCTTGAATGTTAAGAAATCAGCATTCGTCATTTCTTGCCCACGGAAGCAAATTATCTGCTCACGAGAAGAGGGAAGGCACATCCAATGTGCAGGAAGCGGCCATTCCTTTGATAACGTGTGCTGAAAGGTGACGGTCCCTTCCTTTGAATCTTCAAGACAGCATTGTGCTGTAGGAGGTGTGCATGGCTTTATCAAAAGGGCCTCCAGCTTCAGACCCATGGAAAATATAATGCAACAGTTCTCCACATTTGGCTTGATGCATTCCTGTGACCAGATACAGGACTGTAGCACACTACTGAAGTGAGTACAATGCTGTGTATTGATCCTGTTTGCTCGAAATTCCCCATCGGCCAATTGTGAAACTGTATGTCATGTTCTTGACAACCATACTCACTACAGAGTTGACAACAGAATGGAAAAATTGTTGTTGCATCACTGACAGCATCAAAAAGAAATCATAGAAAAAGGCAACACACTAAGGCATCCTAAAGCATGCCTTGAGGTGGACGACTGACACATCAGACACCAAGAAATCCCAGGCAGTGCTCTGCTAGTTCGTGTTCCAGACAGGGCAGCCACAACTTACACCTCCCTCATGAGGAAGACAGTCACAGCATACCAGCAAATTACTGTGTTTCCAATTAGCAAAAACAGACTGGAATCCGACTGCTGGAACCAAATCGGGACACAAGAAGGTTATGAAAAATACATCGTTCAATCCAATCACTTTTTGCAGTTTTCGGCGCTTGTCATACCCTTCATGCTTGCAAAACAGCCTTTTGTCAGTTTGTACGAATACGAGCTGAGGATAATCAAGCCACTACCAGCAAGTGTCTGGTAGTCTCCCAAAAAGCACCCTATCCACGCATCTTGTGAAATGAGCCCATGCTGCTCAACAGGGCTAGCATGGACCTTGACATATGGTTCCCACAGCTCCTCTACTGCACATTTCTCTCCACTCCATTTGACAATTCCTGTTTACTTCAAGGCTGTCACACAGAAATTCTTGGTACCCAGCTGTGGCCACGCACCGTGTTTATTTTCCCCACGCTGTACTGAATGCCCAGCTGCAGATTCACCATGATGTTGTAGCTCCTGTGCTCCTTATATATGATCTCCCCGGGACCCTTGTCCTTCTCCCCCGCCTTCAACAGCAGCTTCTTCAGCCGCCCAGGCTCCTCCAGCCGCAGCACCGCGAATAGCAGCTCCATGTCCGATCGATCTTCCAGGCTCACAGGTGCCTCGTAGGCAAGGCGGCCATGCTCGTACTCCCGCAAAAATATGCTCTCCGAGGCCAACATCGTCATCCCATGATCAGCTACCTGGGCAACGGCAGCTACCCTGATTGTAGTTCTCCGTGCAACAGCCAATGAAGAGAGGCACTCAATGAGTGTTTCAGCTTCAATGATGTGATTTGTGTCTGTGGTGTTGTTCGACAACTGGATGCAATGCAGACTTTGGACACTTGATGTGGTGGCGGCTCCAGTTGGCCTTCTCTACTTTCAGTCATACGACAATACGCATTCTCAAAAACACACACATGGTTGCCTCTACCACATTTGCCTTCCATTATTGATACTAACATACCAAGTCACAATTAAGAGCCCAGGTGCCACCTCCTTCCTAACTAGGTCCTTGTCTTGGTCCAGGACTCGCACAGTCAACGTCATGAGGTCTAGATTGTGGATACATGTGGCCACAGAATGGTACGGGATAGAAAACGAATCCTAATTTGTGCTGAACCATTGCGTGAACTAACCAATAGCCAAATCAGCAGCACAAACATTCTGTTCTACATGGGATTATGCATCTTATTGCGATCCGCTATTTTGAAATAAAGAGTGGCAGCTCCCCTAAACCTTATCCTTGCAAACCATGCTTGCAGGGTTCTATTGACAACCAATGTTCAGGCGGTTAACAAACCCACATCACGGCCAGAAATGGCCTTGTTCATAAAAGCGTCTACACGCACTGAAATGCCCCTAAATACTGAAACAGAGGCACTCAAATGCACCTAAAGCCCACTTCCCCAAAGTGCTCTAACAGCAAGCACCCTGAAATACTGAACTGCATGTAACAACTTTACACAGACACTCCTGTCCCCCTTTGCAACGCCCAGCTTGTCAATTTCAGACATTTTTCAGACATTTTTGGGAGCTGCTTACATCCTGTAATGTCCCACTGGCTGCAACAAAGAAGCACACACACCTGTCCACCCACGCCCTTACGCGCCACTGCTGGCGCTGTCAGCGGCCCCTCGGACAGGTCGTCACCCGTGCTGCTCTCGAGCTGACTCTCAGATCCGTCAGAGTTGTTGGCAGAGGGCACAACAGGGGACAGGGAGCGGCGTGACTCGGAGTGGGAGGGCCGGAACAGGCCTATACCATGCTTCTTGCCCATTTGCCACAGCCCGTCGTATGTGGAGTTATCTTTCCACTGGAAGGTGCCAAGGCCATCCTCTCGGCCATCCTGAGTGCACAGAACTCAACAATGAAACTTGTAGAAAACACGGAACAAAAAGTCAAAGTGCGCGTGCAGAAGAAGGCACCTCAAATGTCAAAGAAACAGCACAGGGGACACACTGCCGTTCAAGCCGATCCGAAGCACTATAGGTAGCCCAGTCCCAACCAATGCCTTGGGGAATGCAATCTAATAATATGCACAACATCAAATGTCCACAAAACGAAACTGGTCAAGACAGCTATTGCGTCAAAGGCGAAAGAAAAGTGTTCCCCTTCGAGTTCAATGCTCAACTCAGGGTGCAGTTGGCATATGGTGCACTCCTGCAGGGCACCCTTTTCTGGAGATCTGCTGGCTCGTCGCAGAGGTGGTAACCCTTCGGGGAGTTTGCGCTTCATGGGAACTGCCTATCGACATCAATGCTACCTCTCTGCAGCAAATGCCAATAACATAGGACATTGATGGGTGAGGGATGTCATCACATGCTCATGCACAGAAGGGAACAACACCATGTGGAGTTGACCAAGGCCTGAGAACGCTTGTCCTGCGCTTCCTCACAGCTTTGGCCAGGTGATTGTTTCGAAGTCTTTCTGAATGGACTCAACAACACCATCTGTTTCTCGAACCGTTAGAAAGAGCGACAACTCCAATGCCCAGGATGGTGCATCCCAGTGTATGACAGAGAAAGTTCAATGAAGAAACCAAGCAAACCAATAACATCAGGCACTGCAAACAAATAAGGCAGATGCATGGAAATAGCAATTCTCTATTCTAGCCTAATAACCACATCGGCCACTGCTGTGGCAACCCCATCAGCCACTGCCATCAGAGCCTCAGCACCAGCTGCGGGTAAGCTTGTTGTATTTCTATCCCTTCAATCCACACAGCCTTACACACCTTCCATTCACCATCGTAACGCTCGCCAGTCTTCCACTGAAAGGTGCCATGGCCATGCATCCGCCCATTCTTCCACTCTCCGTTGTACTCGTTCCCGTCCGCCCAAACGTACCGCCCAGGGCCATCGGGCTTTCCATGCTTCCATAACCCGTCATACTTGTCCCCATTGGAATAAAACTTTTTGCCCAGCCCATGTTTCAGGTCGTTGGCCCAGCCGCCCTGGTACCGTGAACCATCTGCCGCCTTGAACATTCCGTACCCTTGCATGCAGCCATTGCTCCATTCCCCTGTGGTATGACACACCATTCTGTACTTGCTGTTTTGCCAACTGTATCACGTTAGTTTATACTTGTTTATACAATAAGGCACCAACATTACCCTTGCAATTGTAGGGCAATGATGGGCACCCAACTCCAAAGATATTGGATGTTCAACAATGTGTTTTAATTTCCTTATGCAGGCGCTGTGTTCACAAAAAGAGAATATCACTGATAATATCCTTGCAGGAAACGTACAATATTACTATGCTGGCTGCAACCCCACAGAGAGAATAAGCATGCAACCTGCTCCAACAGCTTCTCTTTGAGAACAGGCAGTGCATAACCTGACAATTAAACAGCAGTCCTGGTAACAACTGTCTCCTCTTGGACCCTCTAAACCTTTCAGGCCCCTGCTTTGATTCGCAACATGACATACAGGTGCAATCGTAAATAACAGCAGTATGTCTCTGTCCCATGCTGGCAGACCTTTAACCATGTTTGCACAGCAGAATCTTGCTCTAGCACAGGGCACCCATTGTCCCACAGAAACGCATGTGCTTGGGATCGCATGTATGCTTACAACAGCAGTACACATGAGTGGGCCACGTTGGTAACAGGGATGCTATGCAGAGCAGCGCAGGCAAGCAAACTATCTCCACAAACCCTGGCTAAAACACTTGGAAAGTTGTGTAGCCTAGCCAACCACTGCACCCCTACAACTCCATTTCACAATAGCTGACAGAATGCTTGAACAGGAAGAGCCAATCTGATGCCAGATTCGCCATGCTGTTCTATCATCACCAGGCAAAGGCATGTATAACATAACAGTTGAGTCTGCATGCAGGGGGCAGGTCCAACTGCACAGCGATCGGGCTTGCCCAATTGACAATTTCCTTTGTCAGAGATAGGAAATTTCGAACGCAAAAACATGCAAGGCAGTTGGCACCCTCCAGCCAACCAATTAGGCAAGGCTCTGTTCCATATTGAGAGAGGTGATCCAGACCCCTCCACATGCAGCAGGAACAGCACCAAACTGCCCAACTTGCGTGCCTGCAGGCCAACACCCGTGCGTCGCTACCTGGGCTCTGGTGGCCCCAGTCGCGCACCTGTGTACTGCGCTCCGCTGGGCCACACGTATCCCCCGTTCCCGTGCTTCGTGCCCCCCTGCGGCGCACAACCCAAGTCAGCACAGATCAACAACGGAATTCGTCCTCACACCGCTTACGGCGTTCACACACTCGCCCCCAACTGCCGCTTGCTATGCAAACCGTGGTAGAGCACTCGACGCACGGTCCCTGGCCGACGCTCAGGGCCGCGAAAGACCCGCCCAGTCGGCCCGGTCAAGAGCCCCCACCGACAACGGCGCCGGTGGAAGTGGTGTAAGGCAGACATGCGCATAACGCGAGCCCAGGGCAAGCTGCTCGTTCGGTCGTCCGGAAAAGCAGACATCGCTGCTCTGCGTTCGATGCCGGGCGGCCTGCGCGACGCCGAGACCAGGCCTTCGCATCCGCTGCCGTCGCCGCGGGCCCCCCTGCCGAGCAGCGGATTAGGAACCCGCGGGCTCCAAAGCGACCGCGGCGCCTCTGCACTGTCGGCCCGACACCGCCGACACACCCCACAAGGCGCAGCTCGGGCAGCCACCCCTGCACCCCTCTCGCCACGACCAGCCCGGCGGCAGCACCGCGCGATCAGGGCGCTCGTTGCACGCTAGTCGGCCGCGGGCGCCTGCAACGGGGCCCACAGGAGATGACTGCGCTGGGCCCAGCGCCGCCCTCACCTTCCACTGGCCCTCGTACGTGCTCCCGTCCGTCCACACGTACCTCCCGTACCCCTCCGGCTGCAACAAAATCACACACCGGGCGCGCCCGCGCGTCACAGACGGTCATCAGCAGCGCATCGCCCCCGCAGCCCCGCGTCTCGAGGACGCCCCCCAGCCGCCCGGCCCTGCGGGTGCCCATCGCATGGGATGCGACGCTGACGGCCGACGGGCGCGCAGGGCGGCCGGCGCTGAGCCTGGGCGGACTCGCCCCTTGGGGGGAGCCGAGGGAGGCATCCGCCCTCTGGCCGGGGTCGAACTGGCATCCAGGCGCGTGTGTCGCCCCGCCGCTCGCAGCCACGCACGGTGGCGCGATCGCCAGGCCGCCGCCGGGAGGCGCGTCCGTCTGCTCAACAGCGCGATGAATCGCGCCCAAACTGCGAGGTCCCAGCCCGAGAAGATCGACCACGGACCCCCCGCCCCAGGACGCCGCGCCCAAGGGGCCCCTCCCGCCCGCCAGCGCGCTTCAAGCCACCGATCGCTTCCCGCCAACCCACCAGCCCGTTCCTCCAGCCCCCTTCGTAGACGTCACCGTTCTTGAACCTCTTTATCTTTCGCTCCACGCCTTCGCCGTGCTCCATGCCGGCCCCGCGCCCGGCCCGCCCGGACCAGCCCGACCGCCGGGCGGCCGATCAGCATGCCGGGCCGCCGGCGATCCCCGCGGCGCGCCTCCCCACGCCCATGCCCCCGCTGGCCGTCCTCTCGTTCCCTTGACGCTCCCAAAGGCTCGCCCTGTTTGGCTCTTCGCCCAAGGCCAAGGCGCCAAGTTTCTCGGGCACTGCGAAGGCCAAAAGGCGCGGGATGGGAAGAACAGGGGGGCTGGCGGGAGTGGCCGGGAGAGGGGGGAGGGGGGCAGGGGGGGAGGAGCGCCGGGTGCGCGGAGCACGGCCTGAGCGAGGCCCTTCCGGGTGGGAGAATGCGGCTTGGGCGCAGACCGGGGTGCTCATGAACACCCGGGCGCCCAGTACTTTGGGCGTCCGACACCCCCGGCGAGAAAGTAAGACGGCGGAGTCGCCGGCGGGGCCAGTACATTGGGGCCGGAGGGGTTGGGGATCCAGGGCGGGTCGCGCTCGCCCATTTGTTAAGCCCGCCGTGGCGCGTCAGTGGAGAGGGACCGGGCGTCACTCGCGCCTCGTGCCTCGCCTGTCTGGTTGGTGGGTGAACGGCTGCCTCACGGAGGGGCCTCACTTCTCGATGCAAGCAAGCTTCTCTTTCGTTCCTTCTGGAGTTTGCTCCGCATGCCGGCTCCGTCCAGCCCGCCTGCTGCCTTCCCTACGGTAACCCCAGATTTTCCGGCTCGGCCATTCCCTTTCTTTCGATGCGCCTTCGGAAGACAGGGCAACCATGGCTCGGCTCTCCCATGGGTGAAGCACCACGTTCCACCTGCCATCACACCCGCCTATTGCCGCTGTCCATCCCGCAACTGACATTTTTACCATTTCCGCTGGGGCCGCTCCCGCGTCTGTTTGCCCTCCGGAGCTCTCAGCACCCCTGGCCACTCCCGGGGAGTGACTCCCCTGCTCCCGCGTTTCTTCATCTATCTTCCCTTTCGGCGTACTTAATGTAAACTAATTCCATGACCGTCATGCCGTTGCGTAGCTGCTGCTAGGGACCACACTGTGTTGATTTGCTCAGCGACAAATTGACACTGACCAGAACCCCGCGCCAGCCCGCTTCTCCGCGGTGTAACTCTTTATGTTGACGCCAGGGTGGCTCAGCAAATTTGCCTAACAGCACTCCTCAACATTTCAGCACTGAAAGGTTGGAGGCTGTCAAGGGAGACAATTTGGTGTCTTTGTGAACAACGAGCGCTGGGGGAGGTTTCCAGCATATGTTGAAGAACGGCGGGGTTTGGCCCCATGGGAGTCCATGTTGAATTCGCAGAAATTACGTAAGTTCATAGCGTCACAGGTGGCACCCCTCCCCCATCCTTGCGTCGGTTTGACGAAGGCCTACCAAATCAACACAGCATTGTGGTCACTGACACCCCTCCGATCCTCCCAGTATACCCCGGCTTACAAGTGATGGGTGTGGGCTATCTGTTCCAATGCGAGTCTTGTGTACCCATGGGTGCACGGTATGACGCAGGTTGTGCTGTGAGCCATACACGCCGTTGGTTTGTGTACCCAGTGTGGGTCAAACAAAGGGTGCTTAGTCATTTTGCCAGGCTGCAAAGAGAACACTGGGCATCGCGTGCCAACAAAATGCCCGTTGTAACACAAGAAAGCGTCCCCAAACGAGCACGACAGCCGGCGAGCAACAACAGGTTTTCTGGGAACAACGGGCCAAAGAACGGGTCTCCCAAGGGGTCCCATACCGGTTGTTGCTGTTCCCTTCGCTGCACCGGTAGCAGGTTTTCGACTTTGGACCAACTCTGGGCGCGGGCACAGTAGATTTGTGAACAGTAGATTTGTGCGAGGACGGCATCCACCTACAAACCGACGAGCACTTCAACGACAGCCCATGATCCCAACACCACAATGGAACTACTCAGGGGCGCTTTACACCCTGCCCGGGCCCAGCGCTATCACGCTGTATTTGCCGCCGTTGCCGAGCACAGAACGCACTGGAGGAGGATGCGATACCCACTGCGCTGGGCACAAACTGTGCCGCTCACCGGCCTCCCCACACCCTACACCACTCGGGAAGTTTGCATCGCGATAGGAAGCACGGGCGAAGACTCAAGAGAGCTTCCCTGCTGCTCGCGGTGCGGAGTGTGAACGGAGCGAGGTGTGGGTGAAGCACGAAAATGCGGCATTTGGTGAAGTGGGATAAGAGGCGAAATTTGGTGGTGGGTTGGTTTTGTCCACTTGCATGCATCATGCTTCGCTGAGCGCGGTGGCGCGTATCAGAACTCTACAATGAGCCAGCGTACGGCGAGCAACCTGTCAGTGCAATGCTTCAGTTCCCTATCTAGGCATCCAGTGTCCGAACGCAGCCCCTGTGCAGTGGCTTTTTGGTGTGGGTGAGTTGGCACGGGCGGGCTGGCTCGGGTGCCAACCATCGTCCTCAACTCCACCGCTGCCCATCGGCAGGTGCAATTTCTCCTAACAGAATATATGCACATCGACGAGAGCCCCACCCCCGGAGTCACAGCCACTCGACTGTTCACAAGCAGTTCTCTGCTGGTTACACGAAAAAAAGTATTCATATACCAATACAAAGTACCCCCTGGTCACCCAAGCGTTCAGGCCCCACCGCGCATTTCTTCACCCCAGCATCCCACTGGCAGCCTTGCAACTCCCCATTTTCTCCAAGCTCCTCTCACACCCGCAAAAATCCCAACCAGCCGCCCGCAAAAAAAACGCTGCACAACACCCCCTGGCCCTTCCAGGGCAGCAGCGTCGTCGCAACCACCAGCGCCCAGAATGGGCCACAGTAAGCCTTGAGGGCCCCACACTGCCTCTGAGCGTAGGCGGGGAGCCCCAGGCTGCCGATTCCTGCGAAGCCTATAAGTCCTGCATACCCTGCGGGCAAGTTCCCAGCCGCCTAAGATCTACCATTCCCACTCTTATATGCTCACGGAGTGTGCCTGTCCAATACCTCCCATCACCAAGGAGCATGAATTTGTATTTATTGCCGACAGCCCCTTGTGCAGTCATCAGCCCCAAATGGCCCTAAGTACCCCCTCATACGTTTGCAAACGAATGTGTGCCACAGCCACCTGAAAATTGGCTGCGCATTAATAAATGCCCCCATCACGGCTTGTAAGGATTGTTGAAAGGCCCGCTGGCCCATCAACGCCCAGTCCCCATGACAGCAACTCCTTTTCACAGCAACATGAACAGCATTCAAGAATACACTCACAGTGCTCTAAGTGTGATACTCCTTCCCTGCAAAACGCCCCTTGGTGTCATCAAAACTTCTAGTAAGGTATTGGCAACTGTCACTAGCACCCCTTTCTTCCCTATCCTCTTCGAACATGTGCCATCGGCGCAGCGCCAGGATTCGATGACCCACAATCCCACAAGCAGCCCCCAACCCACCCACCCACAAATTCTCATCTACACCATTTTATTCCCACCTCAATCCCTCTGTTCCAAATCCCGCTTCACCAGCTATCAACAGAGCATGCATGAAAGCACCACTCAGCATCCGCCGCTCCCAAGAAAACACCCCCCTCTTGACCCCCTTCCTCTCAGGCAGGCCCTGCCCCTTCCTGAGCTTCCAGGCTGCATTCTCCACTCATCCTCCCCTGCTGTCCCTCCCCAACATCCTCCCAAATCATGGCAAAGGCTAACAAACAAGGCAGCCTAGTAGTTGCCCCAGTACTTGAAGTGGGGGTCCACATACCTCGACGGTCCATACCCATTCCACCCTGCCACTGGCCCCACCACTTGCTCCTGGGCCACAACCCTGGGGAAGGACACCACTCCCGGCACAGGGCCCCACTTGCCATCTGGGTACCACTGCGTGGGGTGGCAGGTGCCTGGCGCACCCTGCCAGTAGCCATTTCCCCAGCTGATCGAGCCCCTGGACAGGTGGCGTGTGTGGCCGCTGGGCACCTGCGGCTGCAGGTGCTTGGAATCCATGGGCTGGTGCAGGGGGGATGCGGAGGCGGGCGGTGCAGAGTGGATGGGCACGAAGGCGTGGGAGGGCGGGGAGGGCTGCGACAGGGGGCTGCTGGGTTTCAACTCCGGACTGCGGGAAAAAAGCACAGGAGGAGGCGTCAGGGCTGCACAGGCGGAGGGGTTAAAGGCGCCACATTAACCAAAAAGGCCGTTTTCAGCCAGTGGATGGCAGGAGCGCTGGTTTGCAAAGGCACACAGGGCGTCGGCCTCAACGAATCGCAGGGCGCTTAGATATGATGACCACGTTGTGCCGGCCATGATGACGGCAAGGGGGGCGGGCGGCAGCCAGCTTCGGTGCGCACGCAGCGCAAGACGGCCCCCCAGCGCACAGAAAACAGAAAGCGAGACCCGCGGGTCAGCATGCGCGCCAGGGTGATCCGGAAAACGGCTCTCCCTCCACAAAAGCCCACGCGCGCTGCCCGCCCGCTTGCAAACATGCGGGGAACGGGTGTCGACAACTCAACAAACGCCGCGTTCGGGGCTGCGCCCCGGGGGCAGGCAAGCGCGCATGCCGAGGAGCGGTGCGGCCGCACGGCCAACCGACTGGTGCCAACCGACTTCCGCTACGCGCGGCCCACAAGACCGGCGCCAGTGGGCCCCCTCCCGTGGCGAGCTCCGCAACAGCGCCGGTGCGCGAATGCGGACTGCCGTCTCGCGCGCTGCTGGCCCCCCGCAGACCCGTGGAACCCTGGAAGGGGCATGCTCGGCTGGAGGTTTCTCCAGGGGTGGGTGGGGGCGGGTCGGCGGGCGGCAAGGGGAGGGGAGGTTTTGGCAAGAGTGGCGCGGGACGCGAGAAGATGCCGCCTGATCAGCGGGGCATTCGTGGGGGGCAGCGGCAAGCGGGGGCATCGGGTCGCGCCAGTGACCCACTGGAAGAGCGGGAATGGTGCCGCTGGGTCGGGTTTTGGGACCCGACGGGGTGGGGTGGGGTTGGGGGAGAGGGAAAGAGAAAGGGAGGGTGGGGAGGGGGGGCGAGCCGGGCTTGGGGTGGCTCCTAAGGGCGACAGCCAAAAAATGCGCCTCAAGACGCAGCCCTGCGCCCATCAGCACGGAAAACCGGCCCGCTCCAGCCAGACGAGGGCGTTACTGGTCGACTGCAAACCCTCGCGCCCTTTGCGCGCCGCGGGGGGCACGCGGGAGATCGACGGCGCCGCTCGGGCGCGCATGGCTGCCGGGCCGGCCGCCCCCAAACCCTGTGTGACCTGGACAGGGTTTTGGCTGCCCCGTGCGGGGGCCAGGGGCCGATCGACGGGGCCAAGGTCAGGCGCGGCCCCCGACCAGCCAACAACTTGCGGCTCAGGTAGCGCGCCGCCGAGCGCTTCCTTCAAGAGCTGCGGTGCGCACGAGGCGGCATCGCTGCGACCCCGACAAGCGGAACCCTCACCAACACCCCCGACCCTCCCCCGACGTCGCAACCCCGCCCAACCCCACAGAAATCCACAGTCGCCACCCGCCCCCACGCCCACCCTCTGGCCCCCTCACCTGGACGACGGGCTCCTCTCGTCCGCGCCGCTCCTCCTGTGCGACTTCCAGTGCTCCCGGTAGCACGCCGGCCCGCAGAACGTCGGGGCTGGCCGCACGCCCCGCCTCAGGCAGATCAGGCACTGCACGCTGGACGCCCCGCCGCAGCCGCCGCAGCAGCTGCCGGACGGCCCACAGCTCGCCAGCTCCTCGGCCATGCGGCCGCCCAGCTCGCCGGTCCTCTGCTCTCTTGCCCGCGCTGCCATCCTCGGAGCCCCGGCTGTCCGCGTGCGCCCCTGAGCAGGCAGGTGTCCCACGCAGCGGGCGGGGGCGGGCACTTATCTACAGCGGGGCCGTGCGGTGCGCACGTGCATTGTGCGCAGGGGCCTGCGCTCATTTGCTTGATTTTGCGGGCAGCGGATGGTGTTTTTGGCCGGGGGCGGACCGCGGGGGCGGGCAGGGCCGTGATTGGCCACGGGGATATGGGAGTGGATTCGGATTGGCTGGCTTGAGGTCAGTGAGCCGTGACGTGTACGGGGTGGGATTCAGCATCCGCAGGTCATTGGCTGGTATGGGTTTAGTAAGCCGTGCGTCGGGCGCGGGGCTTGGGCCGGGGCCGCGGGGAACCCCACGATTTCGTCAATGGCTGCAAGTAAGAACCCACCGACCGACTGCAGGAAATAATATTACTGCCTGCACCAAATCGGTGACTGCTTGCACCAAGTCACGTGCACACTTTGTCCTAACCTCAATTTTAGGGTTAGGTTTAGTTTCAGGGTGAGTGTTAGGGTTAGGGTTAGGGTTAGGACAGGTTAAGGTTTAGGTTTAGTTTTTAGGGTTTAGGTTTTAGGTTAGGTTACTTTGGACGGAGTTGGACATGATGTGCACGTGACTTGGTGCAAGCAGTCACCGATTTGGTGCAGGCAGTAATTTTATGCCCCGACTGCAGCGGCACGGTTCTGGGGAATAGGCCGGCGGGCGGCCGGAGGGCACGTCATGCGGGATGCGGCCGTTCCCTGAGGCCCCGTCTCGATGTCTCCCAAAGACGACGCAATGTTGGCATCCAGAATCCACAAGGTTACACAGAACGTGCTGTTGCGTCAACCATGCAGACCAGGAAAAGACAGCCAGGCAACGAAGTCCATTTCACAACCTTGAAATCGCCAGTCTAGTACTTGGATTTTGGATAAAGGAGTAGCAATGCCGGTCGGGCGGGCGGTGGAAGCCCCCCCCCCCGATTAGGCAGGTATAATGTGGCTGGCGACATTCAAAGAAGTGTAATGTCAGAAGTGTGGTGTCCTGGGAGACCGCAGAGCGCGGTGATCGACTACTCCCTATGATGTTATGAGGCGTCACGCACAGCACAGAGTGTGCACCAAGTGCGGCCCGGGGTGCTCTGGTACTGGGCGGTTGGCTGATTCGGTGGTTCCCTGAATGGTTGATGCTCCACTCGTGTCCATGCTTTCGGGGCAAACACGGCAAATTCTGCTTTTGTTTCACCGAAAAGCTAGTACCAAGGGGGCAACTCGAGGTGTAGAATGACCGTATCAGGCAGTTTCGAACACAATTGTGAACACGTTTCTGGTACCCAACATCTGGATAGCACACAGCACCTGTCTATAGCACCACAGCAGCAATTTCTCCCCAGTACAGCACGGCCCTCCGTTTGTGGCAACTGACCCCAGCAGGCTTGTTGTGTTACTGACTCTGTGTGCTGACAATCACAAACATGGTGACTTGGTTGGCCAGGTCGTTGCCCAGAAGGTGCAAGGGTGTGGGTTTATCATGTTCAGTGGACAAATTGCAATCGAATGAATTGCCACTACACACTGTGTCATGTACACCCTGCTGACTCGATGTGAGGGAGTGAGCCAAGCGAGCCAAGCGGGCCAAGCGAGTATATTATTGAAAGCTGTTCCATGCAAGCAGGACTCGAGGGAGACAAACATGCTGGCAAGGCTTTGAGAGTCATGCTTGACCTAGAATGGTGTGCGGCAATATCAGCTGGAATCAAAAGGCACTTAGCACATGATCCAGGTGCTTCCAGCCCAGCAGTGCTCCTTTGCAGTTTGCATCAGAATGCCCGCACATCCTGAGCTATTGCTGTGGTTCTTGTGCGCCGTTTTGTTGTGTCTTAGGGATGGCAGACATTAGAAAATCGACGACCTCCTGTTTCACGCTGCCTGTGCATGTGGGCATCATGTGGGCACCGTCATGGTGGTAGATCTGCAACTGGGCACTGGGATCGAATGAAGACATGAGCTGCTCACTCCTGAAGGGCTCGACCTGCCAGAGAGAAGCAATGGCACAATGTAAATCAATGTTCTCCACCTTTAACCAGAATATGACAAGATATAGCCATTCCTCACTACAAGCCAAAAAATTAAACAGTGTGGAGGAAGCTCCTGGATGGAGCCAGTCCATCACTGTGCTAACAGGCAGGTATCGAATCGAATTACCAACACTGGCAGTTCACTGCAGCACCCCATGGGACTATGGGAACAATTTCCCTTTTGCCGTTTTCACTGACAATGATATGCCCTGTTGCTCAACATCCAGCAATTATTGGCCCATGGTGAATCCACAGCTAGAAAGTTGATGGATATGTACAGATGGTTTCTTAAGGCCTTGCAGGCAGCAAACAAGCAGAGGGGCCAGAACCACGCATTGGTTTTGTGTGCCATTTCTGTGCAAGAAGACAAAAAGTTATTATCCCAAAAGCCATCCGTGTACATACAAGTATATAATCCCCCAAGCAATCCATGCCATTTTCTATTAGGTGTGAAGTTTCATCGGCAGTCAGGAGTGCGCCCAGGCCACAGCAGCAAGGGCAATACACAGTCATATGTGTTGGTTGGTTGTCTGGGACAAATTGGTTTGAGACCATTGGTGCGGCGCAAAGGTGCTGGAGATTCCACACAACTAACAGATTGTTAGATGCAGAGCTGCATTTTTACTTCTACCAGGTACTACGGCAGTGTGTCATGCGGCAGAGAAGGGACGATACTGCATGACCCAATCTGGGAGAGTTCATTGAGATGTAATGTGAAGCATTGTTCGGAAGAGGAGCGTGCATTACGACAGCAGGAGCATGTAGCTAGCTTGCATAACAGTAACTATGTCCTGAGGAGGGTTTGCCACCTTATTTGCAAAGATCATTTATCTTATCTGAAAATAATCTGCCATACAATTGGCACACTCCTCGACAAGAATTGTGAAGTGACAATCTTTCTAAACTGCCAAAACTTTGATGCTCTACTCTCCAAATGCAACATGGGCAATGCAGGTGTACTCAGAGTAAGTGTAAACTGCAGGTACGGAGGTACTCCAAACGTTGCGAACAATATGTCCTGCAGCCTTCTGGCTCTGTCACAGTGTGGATCGAGAAACTGAAATTCCCAAGTGCTGCCGAAAAAGACAACTCCTCACCAGAGTGTCTTTTAGGCCTGACATGAACAGAGCAGATATTGCCGGCTTCGCATCTTGCACAAGCTTGGCAAAGTGAGGGTCCCTGGGAAGAAAACCTCCCACCTATGCCCACACACAACTTGCCCGTCAGTTTCTGGCATTCCCCATATGCATGGCAACATTCCCTCTCATTGCATTTGTCAAGGCCACACAAATCAGAGCCCTTGCACAGGGTGGCAATAATGGGGGGCACTTCTCGAGTCCACAAAAACATCTTCTTGCCATTTGTGTGGTTCGTGTGCACACAGTGCGATGAGCAGCACATCCAGGGGAAATGCCTATTTGAGTATGCAGCCTCAGTGGAGGCTACAAAAAGCAGGGGTCAATCGTGAATGATCTTGTGATCATCAGCTTGTTTCACAGCAACACACCCTGCTGTGCGATTGCCACGATCGTCTGCCATACGTACCAGTGGACTGTTTGAACAATGTATGCGCATTCTGGGAAGTGACACGCAGTGCAAACTGCCCATCGTTGCAACACAGGTGAACAAGAATGCAAACAGTCAATGTTCACACCCCAAAACAAGCAAACAGCTCATGACAACAGCACCTGACTGCATTGCTGCTGTTCTGACATGTGTGGCATTATTTTGACCAAGCAATCAAGTCATGTTCCCCACAGTGGATAGCTGGCCTCTACAGCAGAAAATTTTCTTGAAATTCTTCAATTGAAATATGTGGCAGTGTTAATGAATCGACGTGCATGGGAACACCAAGGCTGCAGTGTGCCGCACCAAGATTGCACAGGGTGGTAGTTGCAATTCGATGCCTCGAGTCTTCACCCACGCCAGGAACAGTGCGATCGCTGTGGCGCCCTGCGAGAAACCTGCATGAGAATACAATCCTGGGTCAAATGCACATAGAATCAGGCAGCACAAAGATAACTCACTTCTTTTCCATTCCAAATCCAACAGTGTGCTTGCAAATCAAATGTTTTTACCTGTATAGTGACTGGTTGGGTATTTATGAAATTTGTGCTAAAAGCCAACTGGAAATTGCAGGCTCCCCATCTGTGCAATTGGACCTTCATCCAGCGGGCTGAGTAGAGCATCATAATGCGATCATCCTGATGATGTCTTGTGCATCGATTCACAACCAGTCATCGGGCTGGTACTGGCCACTGAGCTAATTCTGATTGTTAGTGAGTGGATTTGTACCCCATGTCACTTGTGTCATTTTATTCAAATGAATTCTCTTTGGGCCCAGAACACAGCAACGCACTCAGAAACAATTTCCAGAAGTGCTTCTTAGATCTTGCTTGGAAGCCCCTCCTGCTACAACACTATCAGAACAGGGGCTGCCAACTGATGCAGGTGGCCACAGCCCTATGAGCAGGGTTACCTTCGTCCTCGTGGTTGCGGGAATGTTTTGCTGGATTAGCAAAACTAGTTTCGATTCTGCTGATAGCAGGGCAACCAACCAGGCCAGTCACCTTAACTACAAGCTGAAGCTGGGGCCAACAATATCACTTCCCCATTGCATACCAGAATATCGAAGAACACCCAGAACATCCAAATGAGACTGAATCCCATGGCAAGCTCCTCGCTGATTCGATGGCGGTGTGGGGATCATGCAAAGATTGACATTCACAGCATTTCACGTGAAGTAACTCAGGAGTCAGATGATGTGCTACATGTTGGGGACATCAGTACGTCAACAAGCAACGTACTGGAGCGCTGAATGGGCATGTCCTGGTGTGACCCTTGGATTTGCAACAAACAACTCCGCAACATGGATGAGATCGGAATTAGATTTTCAACGCTATACAAGAAAATGGATGTCACCCAAAAACCAAGAGGACACACTTGTAGGACATCTTGAGTGTGCCACTGCCATGGAAGGCACAAGCGCAGCGCTTTGGCAGTGTTGACATATGCACTGGAACGATGATGGAACAAAAGATGGACATGGGCATGCCACAATACCTAGTAGCCCATCAACAGGCCAGTGCTCCTGTAGCCCCAGTTGTATGGCCACGGCAGACGGCTCCCACCCTGTGTAGTGTGCAGACTTGGATGGCCGGGCTGTGGAGGCTGTGTCTGTCCAGAGCCACCACGACTTGCCACCAGGCCTCCCACCACACTCTGCGGCAGTGCCATTGTCTGCATCAAATGCCTGAACAACGATGTAAACAGTGCAGAATGTGCGCAGCCTCTTGTACTTTTGTGCTGGTGTCCGATTCGATTGCCTGTGTCAAAATGTTGCACTCTGAATTTGCCAATTCCTTCAACAGTGTGTCAGTAGAACAAGGCCAATCCAAGAACTTGCACGCATTGGCGGACATGGTGACATTCCACAAGATTTTGCTCCCACTATCACTGTCCCCTCCGCCAAAACTGGCTTTCAGCAGGGGTATTTTCAGGTGTTAGGAGGACTGCTGTGTGTGCTCTGGTCGCTGCTGCTGCCGTGGATTGGTCGATATGTCACCATAACACCACAGAAAGCAACATATGCCTACAGGCAGTTCCAGTTGACCAGGTGTTCAATTGCAATGTGTCACTTTCCCACTGCATTTACACCAAGCGATGGCACCCAATGAGTGTACCGTGCAAAGGATGTCAGTATCATGGAAGCAGCACATGTCATACAAAGATACAAGCCCTTCATGAACAAGGCTTTGTTAATTGATTCCCTCTTAATTGTTATGAACATTGGTGAGAAGCTTCAGAATGGTACAAGAAGACACCCGATTGCTAAAGGGATATGGCAGCCTGAAAAATTCTGTTGATGTGATCCAAAAGCAAGGGCACCATATGTTCTACAGTGTCCTTTCGATTGACAGGTGCATGTTGACTTCCTTGACACTGATTGTTGGTGCAAAATGCAAACTGCCATAGACAGCTGTTCGTGCTTGTTACATCATAATATTGTGTGGCAACATCGTTAGCCATGTTGATACACAGTTTTTGATACAATCAGGAAACGTAATCGAAACAACATTCACAACGCCGCATAAATTCAATACCATCCACACTATTGTCAGTGCAGATCATCCATGGAGTCCACTCAGCTGCAAAGCAAATGAGCCTATTGGGTTGTGCGGCCTGCCTCTACAAGCCAGACAGAAAGATAGCACTGCAGAAGTGTCTGCAGATTCCTGTTGGCATCTTCTAATAATCGAAAGGGCACGTAATCTTGTGGACATGCAGCCAATAAGGATTTACACCTGCTGAACCCTCCATTAGCAGTTCAGGCAGGTGACAAATTCACAATCACCTCAAGTTCATGCAGGTGCAGGGGGAGAGCATCGCAATTTATGACAAATTGCTGCAATGGGCTGACAGCAATCAATTTGCAGAGGCGCTTTTACACATTTTGCAGTGCCTACCACGTGGGGTGCATCAATAAACACAAACTCCACTCGAGACTTCAGCCCCTTTCGCCAGCTGCCCATCTTTCCTCGGAACATCTGCAGCATACACCAGAGGTCAGCCAACTGTGCTGCCCCACATCCATCATGACATCATGTGCAAAGCGAAAGGGCACTGTTTTCCCTGAAAGGCAATAAATTCAGAACAGTACATTTGACAGAGCGACACAGCCTGAGCTGCAAGGTGCTTTGCACAGCTTTCTGACAATTGTAGGAAATGATTGTGTGGACACAGCAAAGCTCCACAGTGGGGATATCTCTCATCTGTGTTTTCTCCATTCTTTGGCAAGTTTGCGTAGACAACAGCAGCCCCCTTTGGAAAGGATGGAACTCGTTGTTGTGACCCTATTTGTCGCTCTACTGGCGTGGGACTGTGACACTGTACTTTCCTGTGCTGATACTGTATGCTGGCTGATCAACAACAGCAACACACGCAACAGAGGATACTTGCAGGCAGAAGTTACAGTCACAAACAAGTACAAAGGGCCACGTCCAGGAGCGAGATCCGGCCGTGGCATATCGCTGAGAATCCGTCCAAAATGCATTGCCACAACACCTGCCCTTGCACATTGGCGTACAAGGCGGTGATGGACACAACAGTGCGGCAAGAACAAGCGCACGATCGACGATGATCTGGCTTGACGCCAAGCGCGCACGCTGCCATCGTCTCCAAAGCGCGGGTGCGCGGACTGTCTTGGCTGTTCTCAAGGGTGCAATGCATGGACGTCGTGACCGTGTGAACGTGCCTCAGAGTTCTGTAGATAGCCATGAAGGCACAGGAACCGCAGTTTCCTGTCCATGGCGCCCGCCGGCGTGGTTGCACCGTGGCCCAGGGGCAAGGTCATGTACAAGGGGCCTGGACAAACAGCACGGCCTGCGGGATCGGTTTGCGCAGATAAGAGCCTACAGTTCAGGTCCAGCCACCGAGCACAGCCGGCTACGGCTGTAGATGTCGCATGCCTGCGACAGTATCGATACTGCCCCAGCAGCCTCCTCGTCCAGGAAAGCTGCACAGGCTTGTTGCTTTTTGTCCTCGATTTCCAAGGCTGTTGTCGTCTTCCAAGCATAACATCATATTCAAGGGTCAGAGGTCGCGTTTGACGACAATCAGATTAAAGGTGCTGCAAGGCTAGTAGTGTTGCAGCTCACTTTGGCGGTGTGATACCACTAACGTGCGTTATGGAATGGGCTGTCGCAAATTGCAACGGGAATCAATTGATTCCGGAGGTTGCGTTTGTCGAGAAAGCGCAAAACGCCTTAAGGCGATGACAGGCTGTTGAAGGTATGGCCATTCGAGGCCATCCTTTGGAGTGCGCTTTGGAAGCTGGTGATTGCAGCGCTCCCTTGGAGTCCGCTGCGGCCATCCTTGGACCAAACTCACAGACGAGCAGCCTTGGGCTTACATATTTGTTCGCCCTTCCCACAATAGAGTCTTGCCGCCGCCGCCGGCAACGACCCCCACTCAGAATTCCTTTTTTCGCATCCACCCTTTTCACTCCCAAGGATTGTCATCAATCACAAATGCCCATATGACAATTCAACCCCATGCCACCTCATCACTAAGGTGCAGCCCACATCTGAAACATGCCACAGCTTCCCTTTCACTCAGAATTCAAAACAACATGATTCTGACTACTCAGGTGCCGCATATGGTCATTTCCAAACGCCCCCACTGCAAAGTGCAAGCACAACAAATCTTGCAAGCCAAAGTGTAAGTAGAGGGCGGTCACAATGCTGTAAAGCTTCGGGAAACACACATCCAAAACTTCCCCACAACACACCCTTGCATCTTGCGGACAAGACACTATGACCAAGGCATCTCTATGTGAATTGCAGGACATTCTTTCATCGAGCTCATGTTGTCCTCAACAAACATGAGTGTGATCGAAAACTACCTCAAGAACCAAATTCAAAACCAGAATTCACTCACAGAAATGGCTAATCCGACTTTTCATAAAACATGCGCCAATCTTCAAGGAAAGGAGTATGCATAGGCTAGAAGCTCAATGCTACACCAAGCTCAATGCTACACCAGGGAAAGAGACATCCTGTGTGCCCCTCCAAGGAAAGTACCATCTTGGTGGGAGTAACCTTTGCAAGTTTCATAGCACCATTTTTCTGCAACCACAGTCTTTTTTTCTTTCAATCTCAAGCAGCGATTCACGTTTTGACATGCACACTAGTCGCAAGCCATCAAGCATAAGTGATCCACCCAGTGAAACGGTGGTCATTATGCGGCGTCGCGAACAAGGCGCAATTCCTTGCACGGTTAGATTCTGTAGCCCGTTCTACAGGGCCGTTTCGCTCTCCATGACTGGTTCCATGACGGTGCCCATGTGGCCATGCACTGGCGACCCTGCGCCTGAGTTCCTGCATTTCGACAGAACATTCAGCAGGAAAAGGGGAATTCGCCAAGAGAAAATTCCAGTTCATGTCGTGGCGATCGAGGAGCCTACCAGTACTGACAGGCGCGCACGACGCGATTTGGGCACATTGATAGAAGTTCTGCACCTGTGCGACCACACAGATCGTCCTGCTGACGGCAACGCCCAGACTGCCTTTTTTTCATTGCCAACTGCCCTCACATCAGGAGCTGCCAGTTGACTCTGGCGATTGGCCTGGCAACCTGGCGGGTTGCTACGGGATCACAACTCTCAATCAGTCAATTTTTGATTTGATGTCCTCTATATCATTAGGAAAGGTGTGAAGATGCGCAAATGTAGCAGTTCAGTACATGGCTATACTGCAGCGAGTGGTAAAGCTTTGCTTGCTGTAAATGTACGAACAGGTTTTCTGGCGCACCTCGCTGGTGTGCTGCAGACGCTCATCGAGTATTAGATGTATTAGATGCACAGATAACGTCAGATATTGAGTACAATGTAAATGTTATAAACCGGGTACTTGAAGTATTTTGCACTGCGAATGGGGATCGTTGATAAATTGTGCCTAATCTACACAGAATAAGTCATTAACAGCAACATTAACTGTATGAGAGACGGAAGCAGGAGACACCACCGATTCCACAACTATCGGGGCCATTCAAACCAACACAGAGGAAGTGCGGATCAAGGATATGCACAGATGTAGATTATCAGAAGAAAGAAGTTGCTGCTGTATCAATAGCGCACAATCCGTGACAAATGAAAACAAATCGAGCCGTGCCAAGGCACATTGATCCAAATCACCGTTATTTGGATCATTACGGCCAGGATTGGTCTTTGCGTTTACGACACAGTTTGTAACGCACAAATGGTTGCACATTTTAAGCGCAAAGAAGAGTAAACACAGTCACGCCTATGTTTACAACAATATTCACATATTTTTGCGGGCGCGTTGAGACACCCAGGTTACGTGACGAAGTCGCAGACAGTGATCAGTCCTCCGACCACATCAAGCACTCGCCACACAGTGCTCACGTCGCCCTCTGCAAGGGCAGCGACGTCGTCGAACAAAAGGTCATTTTCTGCCCACTCCAGAGTGTCTGAATGCCACTCCCCGGACTCTGTGAGCCTGTTTGTATTGTCTTTATTTACAGAGGGCCTGCATTTACGCATCGGTATGCGTTTTTTCTTGTAAAAGCGTAAATAATATTTTTATGCATGAATACGTAAGGGAAGGCTTTATGTCGATTTTGTTACGCTTAGCGTCGATTTGACGTTAGGCTCCTCCCCTTTGAGTCATCCCAGTACACAGCGACACTCAGCAACATTATGTGACAGTGATATGCAATTTCTAGGTGGTTTTGAGGAACAAAAATGCCAAAGCTGTACCCTTTTCAGTGGGTTGAGAAATGGGATTTTAATGGCATTGTAGTCTCCTCGCTGCAATAGGACCATTATAATAGCAATTCCAGGGTAAAAGGAAACAATGCAGTGGAGAGCCCGCAGTGAACGACCTGAACCTCTCCTTGAGCAGCGACAACCGACATGTAAGCCAGCATCTTGTAATGCACCTGCCTTCCAAGGGTCACATATCGGTGCACATCGTGCACCGATATGTGACCAAACACCACAGAGGGTCCTCATGAAAGAGGCGCACTGGCTTTGCGCCGATTACATAAGGACGAATCTTTCAAGTCGGAGACACAGTTCGCCGCCGGGCACCCGCAGGACTTGCCCCAGCGCGCTGCGCGTCGACGGACACCCCGTTGAGCAAGCAGACGATTGAGGGACCCAGAGAACGGCGGGCCGAGGGGCGCTCGCCTTCAAGCGCTCGCCGCTGTGCCGACCGACCCCGTTGCTGGAGGTTCGGCTCTCCTAGACTTCGCCAGCACTTGGCGCCGGGCGTCCTGCAGCCTCTGTTCCCGGCTGTGAACGAATCCGCCTTTGACCTCCGCTTCTTCAGGATTGGCCTTGTTCTTGGGGTGTTAGTGATGGCTGTCAGCCGGCCCAAGCCCTGCAAGTCCCGGTTCTGATCGTCTTTCGATTCCACCCACATGCACCTTCGAATTGGTTTCCGAGCGGACTGGCTGCTTAGACAAGGCATTGTGGGTTCCTCCAAGGCCTCCAACAGAACTCTGGCTGCCTCCGCAACGCGATGTTTTTTACGCTTTCCCCTCGCGACGACTCGCGTCCTCGACGAGATTGGTGCGTGGGAATGGGACCAGGCGAGTGGCAAGTGCCCTTCTTCCCATGCAATGTACTATTTCAGAGCGTTTTGTCAACGGTGGTAAGCCAGTACCACGATGGAACTGTTTCTCCCGCTGAAGGTGCAGGGGATTGTAGCCGAACGTTGGAGCCAGCGTCGTATTCTGAAATTGCTGCACTGATGCTGCACTGAGAATTCTCTGCACCCTCTGGATTGCTTGAAGCAAAATTTACAGTTCCAAGCTCTGATGCCAGCACCAGTAGGATACGTCGGTTTTGGCGGTATTTCGGATTTACAACCGCACTGAAATGGAACATGCATTCCAAAGCCTGTAAACTCAGAACAGAGATGTTTATGAAGGTGTGGTTTAGTATTTTGTTCAAGTAACAACTGCAGCCATTGCCACATGTTGTAACGAAATGACCATGCACTGTCATGGAACCATGTATGCACTGGGCTCGCCAAAATAGGAGGGACAGACCCTGATATTCTGGGAGGATGGCACAAGTCATGCTCCACCATAATAGTGCAGTGCTCAACTCAGCTTCAATGCTTCTGTGCTGTTTCTTGCTGCAGAATCGTGCCAACGTTTGCCAGTGGATGGTGGCTCGTTCTCTGTCCTCACAGACAATATGGGCACACGATACTGGCCATGGGTCACAAGGAGGCCTGGGACAGCCTTGTTATGCCTTTTGACATGTCACATGATGACTGCATTGTTTGAGTGACACCTGTGGACATCCAAAGAATGGTGGCCAAGGAGACACCATCCCCATTTCAAGTCCCCATGTGGAGCCGCAGCGCAAACCTGCAGCTGTTGCTGAATATCTTTCCAGGGTATGCCACCCGCAAGTGGGAAATTTTGCAATTTTTATTGATGCAGAACTTGGAGTACACTCTTTTGTAGAGTGTTGTCTTGTGCCATGTGTTCACCAGCACATCATTGAACTGGCGTGGAACACATCCAAAAATGCAACAAGGGGATTGTCTGTGGGAAAGTAAGAATGGAATGTATCTTGTGGACAGTCGCATGTGCCTTACATAGCACATGCATTGCTGCTGTACAGGGAGGCAACGAAGCGCCCCCTGGGCGGTTTCCCTATATGGTCAGCCTCAGGCCAACCTTTGGGGGATCTCACATTTGTGGAGGCGTTCTTGTCCATCCCCGCCTTGTGCTGACAGCTGCACACTGTGAGACTGACATTGGGCGGAACCCCTATGTCCAAATCGGGGCTCAATATACCCATGATGATGACAGAAGCAGTGGAGTGCAGGTGAAAACATGCCAGGACTGTTCTGTGTTCCTGGCACCAGGAATGAATGAGAATTATTGTAAGAGCTGATGTGTACATTGAATTGCTGTAGGTCACGCCATCAACTGGGGAACTGTAGTCTCAGGAATAGAAAATGTTTGGTCCAGCATGCAAACGTTTTTTGGCTTGATAGCTGGTTTAAATTGTGCTTCAGTAGATGGCAAACACTTAAGGGCTTGCTTTATGTTTGGACATATTTGCAGATTATGAGGGCAGCAAAATTGATTCTTCATCCACAATGGAATGGCAAATTCCGAGATGGGTTTGACATGGCACTGGTGGTGCTACGTAAGGCAGTCCGGAATGCTGTGCCAATCTTGTTGCCGGATGGGCAGTCAATGATCAAGCCAAACACGCCAGTTTTTGCTCTGGGATGGGGTCTGAATTTCCAGCTGAGTGTGCCCACCAGAGAATGGGAGCAGGTTCCAAACAGTGCCCTGCAGGGAATTAGGATGAGGATTGTGGACAGCAGGCGCTGCCCACTGAAACTTGAGGAACACCTTCGTCCACATATGTTGTGCGCTTATGATGCCATCCAGTGTCCTTGCAAAGGTAGTTTGTTTGATTTCTTCTGTATCCGTTTTTCTGACTGTGTGCCACAACACATTCTCAATGGGACTGGTTTTCAGTTGAAAGGAAGCTCAATTTTCCCATTCAAGATGTGCTTGCGCTCTATGTTCTGGAATGTGGCGAATAGTGAACCTCCACTTTTGCAGAGCTCCTTTTCACCTTGTTTATACTGCAGCGAATGCTAAATATTTCTGAGATACTTCTGCAATACTTTGAGACTATTCGATCTTCAGGAATGTGCCAGTATACAAACTAATTTGAACTGTTGTTGAAATATTTAGAAAACGTGGAACACAATACTCCACATTTGTTTAAGATATATAACCAGGAGTACTGAGTTTATTGCTCTTTGTGAACATTGCCATTGTGCATCGCACTATGTGACACAATGACCACCACAGTATGTTATACCATTACAAAATAATGGGCCAAGTAAACGTGGAGCAAAAATTGTTGCGCCAAAGTTTCAAAATGCGGAAGGGTTGATTATGCCATGGTATGTGACTGTCACATTGTGGCATCGTTGTGATGCGTTCAGAGTTTGAGGCAGCACAATGAACAGGTGTGGATGGTCTATGCTGCATTGAAACATGCCCATAGCGGCAAGAGGGCATCATTCACAGGGCAGTCTGGTAACATCCCTGCAACTGTGTATAGTCCTAGGACATGCCATGGGGTGTCCGGCTGTGAGTTGCAAGTGTGAGACCTTCCGTTGTGCAAGTTGCTAATGGGATT